TAGTTCGTTAAAGTAATGAAAACCATGTAAAGTGTACAAACATCTGGATTTTTAAAAATTCAATTTTGATTTTCTAATCGAAAAATTAATAAGCTCTAAAGAATTTAAATTGTAGAGATTGCGTGACGATTATTGTGTGTTAAATGGTATAAATTGAGTCAAAACATTAATTATTTTGTTAACTTAAAGTTGTTTTCTTTTTAGCAAATTGACGTTGTGTTAGGTATATCGATTTTTCTTAATAAATGTTTTAAGTTTAGTGTAAAGTAAGGTATTTTCATGGCATAGACATTTTTGTGATATTATTTTTTGAACGTATAATGTAATTCTCTATTATACAATTGACTTGAAAATTACATTGATCCTTAAAAACACAGTAATTTTAACATTCACGTTAAAAATCAATATAATTTTTATGTCAATTGTGTAATAGGAAATTGCATTATACGTTAAACAAATAATATCACGAAATCGTCTATGCTACAAAAATACCTTACTTTGCCCTATATTACATATACATGGTGAACGTAATACAAAAGAAATGTTCGCTCATTTTAACAAGGTATTTTCATAAATATAAATACAAGTTTATTTAATAACATAGAAGAATTTGTTTTAATTGTATTTGAAAATACTTATTAATATGTTAACTTCAACATATATTTATAAAAAATATTTTTGTTTGGTTTACGATTGAAAATTAAATAAATAATATGATATAACATGAAATGTAATAATTTTAAAACAATTGTGTGTATATTAATGTTGGACATAATTTATGTTTAAGTTTGTATTTTAGTAATTTAACTGCCACAAGTTATGTCATCAACTCAAAAAAAAAAAAAAAAAATATTTTAATGATTCTTAATTTTTTTTATTGAAATAGTAAATAAAATAAAATATGCTAGAAAAATATTTTCTTTATACTGTGTGTACTTTTGTTTTTTTTTTTAATAATGAATAATTCGAATTCGAATTTACATATTACATAAGGCAATTTTTTATGATAATATTATGAACGATTAATGGTATCCTTGGTTATAGAATAATTTACTATCGTATGTAATATTTTTTGATTATATAACAAATAATATTTGTTTTTTTTTTCTTAATGGCTAGTATAATATAGTTATTAAGACGTATATTTATGTTGATTATAAATATCAATAAAATAATGTATGAATATTTATTTTTGTATAAATAATTTGATTTTAACAGTGGTCCATTATGAATACAATTTGTAAATATTACTTTTTAACTAATAAATATAGATCTTATTACATTTTTTAATAATTTAAGAAGTTTTCGATTTTGAAAATATTCAAAATAATGTTGCATTTTATCCGATAAAAGTTATATCTCTTTTCTAAATAATTGTATGTTTTATAACTAGAACATTTATTTTCATTGATGAAAAATCATTAGCCGTTGTACCTGATGAATAATTGTAATATTTGACGTAATCAATTTTTTGTAAAATTGCTTGTACAATTCATTGTAAGCGCGTGAAGTACAGCATTATATTTTAACCGATTATTCTGAAAAGCAGTGACCAAACATTTTTTTAAATGCTTAAAATATGTAATGGTTTTTTCAATGTCAAATATTTTTAAACAACATTAAGTGTACAGAATTTTGTACTCTAGGACTTGTAATTTGAACAATATAACTACATTTATACATGATACATATTATGACTAAGTGTTCTAGTAACTAGTGAATAATTATATGAATAAGATTTTCAATATTTATATATATCTATGTATTTAAACTGTATTATACTGACCTTGGATTTTTGTATGCGAGGTATTTCGTTAAGGATTTCAAATAAAAAAAACAAAAAAAAACAACCAACGCAACAGAGAATAAATCATTAGGTCATAGTTTCTTGTCGGTACTTTACACTTATATTTTGATACAATAAATAAATTTGTGTTTGGACTTAGATATCTATACGTCATTTGTGCAATACATTCGATATATCAAATTAATATATAGAACCAGATAATATTTTTATTTTTTCATAAACGTTTGAATTATAACCTAATGTTTTTATTTTCGAGACACGCGTATTAATTTATATTATTTTATTGTAATTGTATCTATGAATAAGTGTGATTTCGATTTTTTCAAGCTTGTACCATGATTTTAGTATAATGGTCTTAACACATTTTGTTTCAGAGAAATTGCAAAACAAAGCTATAATAGCCAATATTATTTTTAGATATAAGAATAATCTACATTAACATTAAAATATGTAAAATATATATATTATTCCGACCTTCACTCGAGAATTGGAATCTATTGAACAATTCGATGACTCGTTGTTATTGCTTTGTGCTTCTATAAAATATAAAATATATCCGTCCTATCACCGCAAAATATGAATAATATTTTACTTATCCCTAACAACTTGTCCACAATTCTCACACGCTCGTAACTTGCAGTACCACAGAAATCTAAAAAGCGAAGCGACAAATACTTCAACCCCATAAATCATAAAAGTTTTTTTTTTTATAATCATATTATGTTTGTGAGTCACATACGTACGCACATTAGAAGCAAACCGAAAACATTGTTCTACGCCAAAACGCGACTTAAATCGATAACTCAATAAGAACGCACCTAGAAACAATTTAAAAAGTATGGGCACTCAATTCGTGTACAGTTATGACCTTTGAAAAACCGTGGAATTTTTTTCGATGTTTCCAAACGTTGCGATAGAGTGTGTTTTAAGAAACATAGAATATTGTGCAACACAGAATAACACGTTCCATAGATGGGGAAAAAAAAACCGAAGCTTAAGATGACTAAAATAAAACCATTTCCTAATCTCCTTTTTCGTTTGGACTGAATTATAATTGGTAAAATGCGTTTATCATATTCATATTATTTTTTTATTGTATCCCAACACGAGTTTAAAAACTCACTCGTTGGTATACCTCGGTCATCGATTGTTATCATAAAATATACATTTTACTGTACTACAGAATAATTTAGTTATAATAATATTCTGTGGCTGTACAGTTTGTATCGTAGTTCTTTGTGTCAAACGCATTTAATAAAAGCAGCAAGAATATGATAATTATTTTTCTCCTTGGAGATGGAATATTTGATGCGTTGTCTATTATACATTATTCTATTTAGTTTATGATAAGCCAGTTGTTCGTCAATCAACCTAGTTACCTGCCTGTGTGTATGGTGCAGCGTTGGTGGTGCGATCATCATGGTTATATTTCGACTTGATAAATTGTTGTTATAATCGTATTGCGATGTGGACATGTATTCCGGTAATGAGATTAATTTATTAATTAACGGAACGCTATTTAAAGACGGCCAAACACCGGTCGTTGAAAAAACCGAGGGCGATGCGGTTAGGTTTGAAGGAAAGGGGTTGGAGTTCATATGAAATGATTTCATCGCGTTCTGATATAACGATCAATAAAGTTCAGGAGGACTTGGGTTTGAACGCACCTGCCCGTTAGAGGTGCTCGAGAGCACAGGTGTTTATTATCACCAGAATAGGCGTACAAGTATTTCAAATGTTAAATTAATATATAATTATAATAAAAATAGTAACACGATATCAGTGTTGAGTCTTCATCTCTCGAATCGTTCTACCGACAAACAATAATCGAACGCCGTATGAGTACTTCTATCACCGATGTTCGGCAACCACCCCCAGGACGTCTGTTCATAATTCATTATTACAATATATTCATACGCGTGCGCAGACCTGTATTTTAAGAGGTGCCTGCAATACATTGGGCCCTGTTTTAACAAAACGTGTAGGTGTATTTAATAAATTATAATATATAAATAAATAAATAAACAGAACTTTATGCTTAATATTGTGGTATATTAGTCCCAATTAATATCTTGAATCTCGTATATTTTCTCACAGCTTCAATTATAATTATGCTTTGAACTTTATGGTCAATTGTAGCTGTTGTAATATCATAATAAGTTTTTGCATGAAAATTTAGAAAATTTAGTCTTACTTTTCCTATTACGAAACATGATTTATTGTTTACCAAATATTTTAGAATAAATTACATTTAATTTGAGCAAAATTAGTAAGAATACGGGCCCCTTAGTCTTGGACTTAAATTGTAGGGCCCCATTTACAAAATGTCGAGGGTGCCCGGGCGCACCTGACACTCCTCGTTTGCACGCTTATGAATACATTAGGCTGTACTGTCACCAAGGCTGTATTTAAGATTATGTTGCCCAGGGGCAACAACATTGCAGTTCCTCTTCTCTAAAGTACAAATCTGAAAACAAGTGTCTTCAAACCACTCGATACTATTGCAATTAATTTACTCCATTTCAGTACACTGTTACACGATATTTGTAACTAACAAAAAAAACCAAAATAATAGCTGAGTTTTAATTAAACAAAATTATAAAAATTTGTCGTTTATAAGACTGTTCGGTGGTAGATGCCCTTCGGTATGAATTTCCTATCCCCATACAAATCGAGATCAAGCCACTCAACACATATATCTCAATAAAATGCCATGTAAAATAAAATATTCATAAATAGGTGAGGTTGGATATAAATTGTATTTACTATTGTATGTAGTATACGCTACTTACTAAATGGCTTAAATGGTTTTACGATATTACATTTATTTTTCGTTTACTTAATCTTAATTATTTATCATTCGTAAATAATTTTCCGCCAAGAGCGCCAAAAAATCGATTCGTTTTCATTTGGAATCGTCGTAAAAATTTTGCCGCTCACTTGAATATTTCAGGGGAGTGGAGGGGGGGCTATTGTTTTCTCGAACGAGCCCTTGAATACGGCCCTGACCGTTACACGGTGACCGCCGTCAGTCCGAACGTCGTCGACACACGTATAATCGTGTTATTGTTAAGCGTCCGTCTACCGTTCGGGGGCGCACAACCCTTCGGCAACCGCACACCCCCATTGTTAGGACTGGCTATTCCCCCCCACCAAAAAAAAAACGGGTCGGAGGGAGCAGTTCTACCGTGTCAGTGGCGGCAACGGTCGCCGCGAGAATACGTTGGACGCCGCCGAACCGAGCACTCGTACCGTACACACGCGCGCGCATCGCGGCAGTATCAATGTCGTAGCGGTCGGTTGGTGTCTAATCTCAAATCCGTGAGCTCCCGTCTCCCTATCGCTCCGCCGCCGCTGGTGTTGTCACCAATCAATTCCGTCTGTTATCAGCGCGTGTCGAGCCAGCGGATTTTTCCTTCCTTCCTTCCTTCCGACCGAGCGCAACGGTGATATCGTGTTATTCCGCAGTGACAGACCCTACCGGAAGCTTACCCCGACCCGTCTGCCATGATGGGTGAGCGCCACCAAACCCGTGACGTTCGCCGCTGAGTCCGCCCTCGTCCGGCTCCGGAATTGCCTCCGACGCAGTCGCCACCGGGTAAGTGCCGCGCTCTTTGATTTTCTCGCCACTGTCAGTTGGCGCGTGGGCGAAAAATGATTCGTTTACACCTACGAGGTCCGTCGTGTTCTCTGTTCACCATTGTACCTTTCCGATACGCATGTATCGACATGACGCTTTACGTCATCCAAACCTCTTGCAATGTACGTCTATCAGTACGGACCGATAGCATCCCGTACTGTTGCTTCTTTTCTCTGCCGAACGTTACCTAATGGAGTAACGTTCAATCCCGTTCTTTATCGTTGTACAACGCACCACTTTGTTCACTTTATTTGTACCACTTGCTTAATGGCATTTCTAATGATATTCAGATAGAATTATGCCTGATAAAAATATTACCAACTTTTATGCAGTACACCTATTGTTAGTAAAAATATTTCATGAACCAGGGAATCCTAAAAGAACTTTTTCGTCCGTCAGTTATTAGGTATTCTTGCTTTTTGTTATAATTAGTTAAATTTTTAAATAAAGTCTTATAGTGAATATTTATATTGCTAATATGTATTTAGCATAGCAAATATCAGTAGGTGTTTTTATTGATTGAACATTGCAGCAATTTTGTTTATTTTGTATTTAAATTGAAAATATTAATTAGACAAAGGATTTGATTAAAAACTATAATATAATAAAAATGTATCTTGAAATTGGTATTAAATTATCTAAGTAGATATATTTTTGTTTAAACTTTAAGCTAAATGAAATTAATAATGAAGTTAATAATCAAAAAAGTATTTAACAAAAATTTGTCATATTTCAATGTAAAACTTTCAAAACTCCATTATATAATCTATAAAAATAAAAGTATTTAGATTTCCTATTGTTCTTTTGTAACAAGCATATTATATATATATATGCAATTTATTAAATTAAATAAAAGAATTGATTGAGATTACTTATTGAAATTATTAAATATTAAGTCTTATTAATTACTTATATGAATTTCTGAGTATACCAACTGATATATTTTGATATTTATTAATTAATGATTTATATCTTTGAAATGTTAATACGCATCCAGAATAGCTATTTATAAATAAGGTTGTCTAGTTATTGCCAAATTATTATTGTTTTTTAGTTCACATGTATGTGTATTTTATTTATGTTTATTACATTGGTAGATTGCCAAATGTTAGTATATATTGTTATATTCTAATACTCAGAATTTTATTTCAATAATATCTTCAAAATAAAATTTTTATATTTTACTTTTAAATTACCTTTTTAATGAGTTTCTTGTGATGTTTTCGATATAAAATAATTATACAAATGTAAGTTTATTGTGATTAAACTATGGGTTATAATCACAATTAAATTAAAAAATACTCATAAATTTAGGTAGATAATGTTTATTGCTGTAACTAATTAAAAAAAGGGTTATAATATTTTAAAGTTACGCTTTAATGGATACAATACTACATGCTTCATTTTAATAATTAAATACTAAGTTGTATGTAGCTGAGGGATCTATTTTATATGTATATTATATATGCCTATGTTAAACAATTTTAATATGAATTGTGTTGAATCTAATCCAAAATGTATTTATTTATTTATTTATCAATCATACCTTATTAGTAGTACTCTGATGTTTATGAAATTGTATTTTTTTTAATTAATCCAATTTAATGTTAACTTAGGTACCAATTTGATTCGTGTTCTACTGAATCAAATAATACCATTTTGGGATTTTAAGATTGTAAATATATATTTCAATACAATTTTTTAACTTTTTAAGAACAATTAAAACTAACAAAATATTTAAAGGAACTATGCTTATACAATTAATTTCACTATGTTTATCTTGCATTTTTCAAGTATGCTCTAATAATATCTATAGCTAGATGTAGAAAGAATTTTTTTACACTACAAAAATTTACTTTAAGATCACAGGTGCAGCTACAAGTTTGATAACATTTAAAAATACCATTATGCCATAGACTAACATTTTATCTTCCTTATTGTTTTCTAAATAAATAAATTGTATATTTTTATTTAAAAATTAAATTAAGTAGATACTATATATACATACATTTTAAATTATTGATACTCTAAGGCAAAATACATTTTTCTGTGCTTATTTTGGTAAAATATTTTAGTTAAAAATGCATATTCTATCATTTTTAGTGCATATTCGTAAACGCATACATTTTATAGTAATTTTAAGTGCATAAGCATTCGAGCCCTACTTATTACCAACAGGTATATTTGAATTTTTATGAATATTTAAAATTAATTAACCTTTTAAATTATGTATTGACCAATTTTAATTAAATACTGTTTGAATATTAATTTGTAGTACCTACTTACATGTTTTAATGAATATTTATTGGATCTAACCGAATACTATTGACAGTGTATTTTTGATTTGTGTATAAGTTATTTCAATAATGATCTAGTTATATAATAGAAGTAGTTGATATTTACCATTTAGAACCAAAATATTACTATTAACTATTAAATTATTATATAATATATAATAATTTATATATATAGTTACATATTATGTAACTTAAGGATCAATTTAATATTATAGTTTCATTAATTTAACAAATAAATGTCTTTTTCACTAAATTAAATTTAACTTAATTATTTACTAAAATAATTTATAAATCAGAGTAAAGATTAAATTCTTATTATATCTTACCTTAGTATATATTAATTTTTGTATTTATTCATTAAATAAACTATTTTATTTAGTTTAGGATAAACTTTAGGATAACTTGTGAAAATTAAATTAAACTGAATATTTAAAGAATATTTTAACATATGTGTGTAGTATGTAGTTTTAAATATAAACTGAACAAATAATTCTGGGTAAATGTTAATCTATTATATGAGAAAAAAGAAATGTTGATAAAGCAAATTTAATTTATTGGTGGTTAAAGGTCATGAAAGATAGTATTAGTTTGGTTTATAATTATATTTATATTATTAAATAGATAATTTATTATACATTTTTAGTATTGATACTTAATTCATGTCACTAACACCTAGGCAACAGAACAGCTCACTTATCAAATTAGATTTTAAATAACTTGACTTTTACAATATTATATTTGGAAATTAATTGATATACAATTTTTTTTGTTAATTTACAATGATGAAGTTCAAATTAAAAAAAAAGATAACTAATGCGTCAGTAAATATGGCTTCAGTGTGGAAACGGCTTCAAAGAGTAAATAAAAGAGCCACAAAATTTCAATTTACCATATCATATCATCAAATTATTTGTGAAACTACATCTAAATGGTAAGTTTAAATTTTTATTTAATTATTATATCTATTATTTTTATTATTATTTTAATGTTATGTTAAAATTACATTTATTTGAGTTTTATATTTAATGAATACAATACTAACCTTAACTCAAAAACATTTATATTTTATAATTTAATTATTTTTTAAATAAAAAATTTAATTAAATTTTTTTTTATAATTTTAAGTTAATAATTTGCCTTGAATAATTGTATTGCTGTAAGCATTTCATGTGTTAAAATATAAATTGGTTCCAATTTAATTAAAATCATTGTATGCATGTTGTATGTTATTTTGTAATTTATTATTTCTTATTATGTATTATAATCATTTTTTGTGTTTTATATCAATAGGATTTATTTAAAAAATTGTTATTACTGTTTTAGGACTCCAAACAAATTGGTTGTAGTGTTGAGTCGTAGAAGCCGCCGTTTTGTTAGTGAAGCATTACCGTGGGAACCTACAATGAGAGATCCACTAAGAGGAATAGTAATTTGGCCTGTACCAGAAAATAAACAACTTTCTATAACATTGTTTAAAGACCCTCGAAGTAATGAGCATGAAGATAAAGAATGGACTTTTGCCATCGAAGATGTAAGTCTATTATTATTTCATAAAATTTTATTACATACATATTTAAATTTATATTATTATTTTTTAAAAACATAAAATTTAATTTTTATACACAATGTATAAACAAATGGAAGTATTTTTTTTTATCAATATTTACAAAAAAATGTATTGTTAAAAAATAAATATTACTATCCATTCCTAAATTTAATGAAAAAAAAAATAAATTAAAAATAATCTAGTATGATTCACTAAGATTTTTCTTTAGTATAATTTAATAGCACTAGACTAAATAAATATACATTTTTATTACCAAGATTTAAATGAATCAAATACATCTCAATATTTATTTTATTTTATTAACATTTTTATAATTTAATAATTTTATATAGGTAAGTAATTTGGGAAAACATCGGCAAATAGCAGTTGCAATGTTAAATATGAAAAAATATGCTAGTGTAGATTCTACTCAAAGTCAAATAACATTGGTGTTTAAACCTACTTCAAAAAAGATAACCTCTGCAACACTTGAAATGACTTTAACTAGTGTATTTTTGAGGGAAGGAAAAGCTACGTAAGTTAAATATATTATTAGTATTAAATTACTTTTAAAGCTTTTAAGTAAATAATTAAAAATAAATATATTGATATTAATAGTGTAGCCATTAATTAAATAAAAGTATAACTAATGGTTTTATAATTACATTTTATTTTATAATCAAATTTAACAGTCGTAACTATAATTTAATTCTTGCTGAAATTTGATTCATATTCTTGGAATTTCAATTTTTCATTATATCACATGAGTAAAGAGATTTTAAATGAACTTAATTAATATTCAAGGACTTATTCAATTTGATATATATTATATATATTTTTTAAAAGCATCATAAAAAAACTTGTAAATAAATGTTCATTATAAGTTAAAATTTAATTTTTTTATACAATAAATTAAGTTACATTAAAAAATAAATAATATTTGTCTTTTCAGGAAGTTAAAATTAAATAATTTTTTTTTTAAATATGACTAAAAATAAAATTTAACATTTATTTTCTAAATTTATGGTTAAAAGTATATATTGTATATATAAGTATATATATGTTTGCATACTTATCAATATTTCTTTCACAAATAATTATATTTAAATCTCTTTTATGTAATTAAATAAGTGTAAAAAAAACTACTTATCACATTCAATCTTTTAACTTTTTTTCTTATTACTTTTAAGAGATGAAGATATGATGAGTATGGCTAGTCTCCTTAGTACAAATAATAGTGATATTGCTCCACTTGATGATTTTGATGAAGAAGAAGTTGAAGGTAATTATATTTTTGTTGAGTTATTGTCACAGAGATAGTTTATTATTAAAAAAAAAAATTTCTTTAGATTCTCTGTTGAAACAAGACTTGACCAATGTATCTTTTATGACCAACAAAATTGAACTTTTAACAAATAGTTTAAGTGATCCCGATTTTATCGGTACATCTATTAATGGTAAGTTAGTGGTCCATATTTGTTATTTCTATATAATTGTTATCTATTTAATTTCTGTTATTTATGTTTTTTTGTTTTACTTCTTAGAAACTGATTCTTCTCAACAAGAAAACTTATTAGAGGATGATGAAAATTTGAATTTATCAATCAATGCTAATTCTAGCATTGAAAATGGTTCAACAAATAATAATCATTGTAATATGTAAGATTTTTTTTTTTTTATAATAATAGGGTCAATTTCATAGAAAATCAATTTATTAATAAAAATTAGTTGTGTTGGTAAACAAATAGAGCTTCCTATTTCATGTCTATATGTTTTCACATATTTATGTAAAATTAACATTCGATAATATATAAACGTTTACTTGTAGACTCCATGTACATGAGTAATTATTCACATAATTAGTGTTTTATATTTTCTTTAATTTCAATATTCTAAATTACATGAATAGGTATATTAAATTCACGTGCATTAAGTATACATGTATATAAATTTTTATTCATGTACTCCGTGTTTCCATACGTATTAATTTACATTTTTAATTGAGACCTCTAGTTACAAATCATAGTCTTAACTGTTAATATATATATGTATATATATATGTGTGTTTTTTTTATATAGAAATAAAAATGGTTCTGGAGAAAGCCTAAAAAACACTCGAGCATTATTAAAACCATTAAATTTGAAAGATGTAAGTAAAATAAAATATTTTAAAATTATTCATATCTAACCATCATATTGAATAACTTTAAATTAATTAAACTATATAGTTAATGTAAATTTTATTTTATCTATTTTTAATGATAATTTATAAATTACCATTTTTATTTTTAATATTATATTTTTCAGATTAGTTCTGAAAGTTCTTCTAAAGGTACTGAAACTACTACCCCTGGTCAAGACTTGCTTGAATGGTGTAAAGATATAACTAAAGGATATCCTGGTGTTAAAGTTACCAACCTCACAACTTCTTGGAGAAATGGCCTTGCTTTCTGTGCTATAATTCATTATTTCCGTCCTGACCTTCTGTAAGAAAATTATTTCTATACTAGTTTAAAAATATATATATATATATATTAATACTATTTATATATTTATAAATGGCACCAACCATGAAGAAAGCAAATGACACAAAGTAATAATTGTGTACTAATATTTCAGCGAATTTGATTCACTGAAGTCCCATGATATTCGAGGAAATTGTAAAACTGCATTTGATGCAGGAGAAGTTTTGGGCATATCCCGTGTTATCGAACCTTCTGATATGGGTGTTCTTACAGTTCCTGATAAATTAGCTGTTATGACATACTTATATCAATTAAGAGCTCATTTTACTGGTTTGTAATTAATTTTAAATATTCATATATTTATAGTTGATTATTTTAAATATATTTTAGGACATGAGTTGGAAGTACAACAAATTGGTAAGACAGCAGATGAATCATCATATATGATTGGTCGTTTTAATAATCCTGATAGAGATATATCATTTCAATTATTTGAAAAAGAAATTTTTAGAAATAGTGAACCAAATGATACATCTCAAAAACCATTTGGCACCATTATAAAGTAAGATATATTATTATTATGACATTTCTGACCAATATTAATTATAACAAAATTTAGTGAGAATGATAACAATATTGATGATCAGAATAATAAATATCCTTCAATACCATCTGTAAAAGACGGAATTACTGATAAAATTTTAAATGGTTCAAAAAGTATTTTTGACAAAGTATTATCTCCATCCAAGGAAAAGTTATCTTTTCCAAAGGTATTTATTTGAAAATAAAATAAATTTATTATTTAAATATTTTTACTATTCATAATTATCTAAAATTAATTTTACTAGATTAAATCGTCAAAATCATCACTGATAACAAAGAGGCAGCTAACCGATCCTTTAGTTTCTGATGATGAAAAGTATAATTGTATTTAATTTTTTAGATATATATATGAAATTAAATATTTTATCTTTTTATTTCAGTTCCTCTTATGTCTCTAGCGAAAGAAGTAAAAGGTTAACAAGATCTCTATCAACTAGTGAGGTATTTTATATTGTTTAAAGTATAATTATTTAACTTAATAAATTTTTTTGTATTTTTAGAGCCTTAAAAGTACAAGTTCTGGAGATAAAAATAGTGAACCAAAATCATTACAAGAAACCAATAAAAATCATGTTTCTTCTAAACAGGTATATTAATCTTAATTATAAAACGCACCTATTTAATATTTAATTATTTGATTGAAAACCTGATGTGTATACATTTATAATAAACTTAACATTTCTGTTTTGAGAACTGATTTTACCAAATAATAATTTATTATTGTTGTTATTAACATGATTAAGTGCATGCTTTTGATTTTATGAATATAGAAAATAACAACTAATCGTCACATTGAGCTCAGAGAAAGAGCTCGTCAACTAGTAGAACAAGCTCGCCGAGAAGCAGCTAGGCGTTCTTTACCTCAAACACCTAGTCAGGTTAGTGTGAGTAAATTTATTATATTTCAAACAAGTTGATATGGACATGCTTTAATTCCTATAGCAATAAATTATAATTTATTTAAAAATTAAAATATATTAATTTGAAATAAAATATTAAGGCTGAAGAATAATAAAAATATTTATTTGGATTAAAGTAACATATGATGTATGTTTGTATTTGCTACATTTATACAATATATGTTGGCTTTAATCTATTTATGAATTTAAGTTTTCTAAATATATTAATTATTTTTATTATGATCTATATGTACAATTGAAAGAGTACAAAAAAATTTCATAAACATAGTATTTATTATATAAATATTTTTCATTATGGAGACATATCAATATTTTAACTTTCAATTTTTTCAATTTTTCATAAAAATTACTTGTGTAGAAAAATGCATAACAATGTTCACTATTGAAATAATGTTACAAAATTATAAAATACTTCACTAGAAATATCAATAGAATACTAATTTCTTTATTTTTTTTTTTTTATTTTACTTATTATTTAATGATTTTTCATGATAAATTTGAACTTGATTAATTATATTATTCTACTATGTAAGATTAACCACTTAAAAATAAAATTATTGTGCAATCCACGAATCATTTATATTATTTTTTGCAGGTGAATAATAATTAATAATTGTATTCAAATATATATTTGGTTAATTATTAGATAAATTAATTAATAATGCCAAATTGATTTTTCTTGTTATTTTAATTGGTATAATAGTTGTAATTATATTTGGTACACATTATCACACTATTCCATGGTGTTTGCAGTTCTTTTAGTTGCACTGATTATAAATTATATCATTAAATATACTAATAGACTATTATTAACGGCTATAGAATCAACTGTCGGCAAATAATCTTTTATACATTTTTATCATTTCTATTAGTGTTCTCAATAAATTCTTTTTACAATTGCGATTGATGCTGCATATTTCTGTAGTAATATTTTTATCTATACATCTTGTCCATAATATTAATTTATATTTATTAGGTAATGTAGCTTTAAGTATCAATTTGATACGAATACCATGTAATTTTTGACATCGTTATAAGAATTATTTTTAACTTACAAAACACTAGATACCGGATATTTCACAGTAAATTAAGGTATTTTAGTATGAATTGAGTTTCTTACATGAATAGAACATCTAAAGTTGGTAAATATAATAATATCGTTTTTTGACTCATTTAAGTATATCATTAATTTTCTGTTTGAATACATTTTACATTTTATCTTAATTTTTTAGAACCATATATAAAATAATTTTTTAAATTTATTTTCTTTAGAATGAAGAAGAAAGACAACAGCAGTTGAGAGAGAGAGCTAAAAAATTAATAGCAGAAGCACGTAAAAATATTAATGTTTCTACTTCGTCTTCTACAGTTACAAGCTACAACAATGGGAGTGCTAGGAGTTCGGTATCTCCAGTTTCTGATAGATCTCAAACCAGTTTATTTCATCATGACAAGGTATAATAGATTTATTACTCAAAAAAATACTAAGTAACACAATTTTTTTTTTTTTTTTTTGTATGTTTTATAGTCATATGAGTCTAGTAAAAACAGTAGCGTTATAGCTTTAGATTCAAGTAGTCCTCAAAAGTTACAATCTTTCACTTCAATACTGGATGCAAGTTCTGTGACTAAAGATGTAAGATATTAAAAAAAATAAAATCAATGACAAATTATTTTTTAATGATAATTGTATGTTTATAGAATTTTAAGAATGAAATCAATTACATTCAAAATGAAATGGAGTCTTTAGAACGTGAACAGAAGCAAATTGACTGCCAAGCAGATGAACTGGAAGTAGAACTTAGAAAAGTTATGAACACAGGTAAATTAAATAAATATTATTTGAGCTATCGATCAAAATATATCAATTTTTGGTTTTAATTCATTTTACTTTGTATAGGAAATGATCGTGAACGGGAAGAATTTCTCATGACTGAATGGTTTACGTTGGTTAATAAAAAAAATGCTTTATTACGTCGCCAAATGCAGTTGAATATTTTGTGAGTATATTTATATATTTTTAATTTAAATTAAAAAAAGTATATGATTCATTATAGAAATTTAAATTATTCTATTATAAAATAAATTCAAATACATTAAATATTAATGATAATTTAATAATAAAATAATAATTCATAAATAATAAATAAAAATTTTTAAAGATATATAATATATAAATGAATTATTACATTATTTAATTATCATTAAAAAAATGCTAATTAAATAAAAATAAATTATTTAAAATATATTATTTACATTTTTTATTTATTACAGTCTAACCTAAAATAAAAAAATATTATTTTTATAGGGAAAAGGAAGATGATTTAGAGAGAAGGTATCAATTGCTTATAAGAGAACTTAGAAGTATAATTGCTATTGAAGGTATAATTTTTACTTCATAAAATAAATATGCTTTCTATTTATCATTGAACTTTTTTTTTATAGATTGGCAAAAAACAGAAGAACAAAAACGTCGTGAAAACTTATTGTTGTCAGAATTAGTAAACATTGTTAATAAGCGAGATGAATTAGTTCATCATTTAGATTCTCAAGAAAGAGCGTATGTATTAATTAATTTTATATTTTTTGTGATTTAAAAAATATTTAAATACCTAGTCTTCTCCTTCGCCTTTTCCCCATCTATTCGAGTAGGTTACCCTTATCCTAAACCTCCACTCGTCTTTATTTTCTATTTTTATATTTTTATAGTCTCATTGGAATTCTCTTATTGCATAAAATGCCCAACGCTTCTCTTCATTTCATAAAACCGCACTTAATTTTATGTTTTACATCCATGCCAAAACCTCCGTTTTTTTATACAATTGATCCTAAATATTTAATCATCTTGTTAGAAATAAAATTAATTTATGTAAAATTTTACCTGTACACTATTATTCTAATCTCACAGCTTAAAACTGTTGTGTGCTTTTTATAAATTTTTATTTTGTTTGAGGTGGTTTATTATAATTATAATAGAAATGTATAATTAATACATAAATATACTATCTTATTTTCAGAATTGAAGAGGATGATAAAATTGCAAGAGACCTCAATCGATCTGGTCTAATTCATCAAAATAAAAATTGCATTATTCAGTGATGTACATACGAGTAATTATTGTCTACATTTAACCAATGCCATCTTGTGATCTTTATACATATAGCTATATATACTTGTATTTATTTTTTTTTAATTCTTCAAAATCTATTATTTTATTTTGTTAAGTATTTATTGTTTTATTAGATTTAATTGTATATTGTTATAATAGAAGTAACTTCTAACATTTTTATTGTAAATTGATTTATTTTGATCTGCACTAATATGTTTTCGAATGTATTTTAAATTAGGTACTTATATGATATGAAATTTTTAGATTATTTTTTTAGCCATCATTTATTTTGGTATAATTTTATTCTAAAGCAAACCAATGTTTGTTACATATTCTTATAATACACAGTATACCAATATTTTCATACATATTTTAAATCTTAATGTTTAGTATGAATTATTACTACTTTCAACAAATCATGATATGTTATTATTAATGTTTGATATTGTTTTTAATTTAACCTAAGTTTATTATTACCATCTAGTCAATAGTATCTATTGAATTGAATTTAAATTCTAGCCATTTTATGTAATTTAGATTATAAATATCAGTTATACATTTTTTTTTTCAGTCCAAAAGATGAATGAGGTTTGCTCAATTAATTTTTGTTTTATACTTAATAACTAACAATTAATAATTCTATAATAAAATTTTTGTTTTTTTGAGTACTTTAGTTTTTTATAATATTTTTGTGTTTTATAATTTATTTTATTATGTTTTCTTTAGACCAATAGACAGTGTAATTGTATTTATTAGTATAGGAAACATCTCTTTTATGTTGATAATATGTTAATGATTTTAAATTAAAAAAATAAGTTATTATTTACCATCACCAAGGTCTAAATTAATTAATAAAGGTGGTTTTCAAATGTTCACCAAAAGAAAAAAGAAAACAATTTAGTTGAATCATTGATTATAGAATTGGGGTTCGGTTATCTATTCTATAATCAATGGTTGAATAAAAACTTTTTCCAAATATTTGAATTTACATGACATATTAAAATGTATTTAGATTTTTTAATTTTTTACTTTCAGGAATCAACATTTGTTTTTCCAATAAATTTAATATTACATTATTGTTCGTTAGAATGTTACAATTTTTAAAAATTCATTAAAAAAAATTATTATTATTTACAAAATTTTATTCATTATTCACTAAATGAAAATCATAATTTTTTTTAGTTGCTATAATAGTGTATGTAGATAAAATATTTTGGTAAACAGCATAATGATTTAACCAGCAACGTACTTATTACAGTTGAGTTTACAGTATTCTGTAATCTATGGTCATATAGATGTTTTAATATTTAATTAATGGTTATAGTGAAAGTAGTTTTAGTTTGATATTAATTTTATAATTATTATCATTTATGAACACAGCTGTAATACATACTAATAATTCATTGATGTAATAAATCTTTACCGAAGACGTCTACATTATTATGATCAATAAAAATCAACAGGCATAGGAGAAACTTTCAATTGGTAAATTGGGTTATGTAGATAAAGTACTGTATTCAAATGTTACACTAATTTGTTTTAAATTCAATTAATATAATGCATATGCAATTCATTAAAATGAGTTACATAAAAAGCATCGCATCCTCGGTAATATTTGTAACTTATACAAGTTGTTTAGTTAAATCTTTATGATAAGATAACAAAATGATAATGTACTTGCACTCAAAAAACTAACAACTTTTCTTATTGTTTGGTTCAGAGGAATTATAAACAGTCTCGGCGCGATGTGATGAACAATTCGTTTGGTTATGTTTATTCAAATGCGTCTAAAGCCAGTCCCACACGACTCGTGTACTTTGCGAGCGTACATTCGGCGAGTGTACTTACCAAGTTTGTACGATGTACGATGTTTGTAATTATGTTACTCCTACACAACTCGTGTGCTCGCCGATTATTCGTCAATAATCACTCCTTTTCAAACAACAACAACAATTCCAATATGTTTTCATTGGAGCACTCGATTTCGATGACATTTTAGTAATACATTTTATAAGTTACATAGATACCTATGTAAATTTAAATAGTTAAAAAAATTTTTTTAAAAAAATTAAATAATAATAATTAATTATTGACGCCGATTGCCAAGGTGCAGATTCGTGAATGAGTGACGTGCGACTACTAGTATACTGCTGTTAAAATAATGATATTTTCAATAATTAATAGTCTCTTTTGGGGGAAAATCCAAGATTAAATTTCGTATCAGTACGAGCATTGATTATAAATACTACTATTATTTATAAGCAATGGTACGAGTCACTCGTGTTGTATCCGACACCGACGGGAAACCACGAGTGACTCGGCGAGTAAAAATAATCGTCGTGCTTTATGATTAGATACCTCATACACGACTCGCATAGTAGTACGATTGACGAATATTCGCCGATGTCTCGAGTCGAGTGGGACCGGCTTAAGGGTTGTGTGAACATTTTGATGAATTTTGGACAATGATAGTGGTATACCGGGAATATAATTTTAACCAAAGTTCAACAAGGTGCTTAGCAGTATGCCAAAGACTAAGGTCGAATCTATGCGCCAGGAACATCTCCAAATCTGGTGGGCGATCAGGTGAAAACGTGTAGTGTTTAATACTACCGCGAATGTTTACAAATAAAACATGTTTACGAGCCTTGGGCGCACGCACGCACGCAATAACAACCGTTGCGGTGAACCGTAGTGCGCGCGCATGATCTACAGATCATAACACACAAGATCTATGAACGTTGTAGGATGCGTACGATAAGACCTTATCGTAATTATTACTAGTGATGGACATGATTAGTAATCGAGACATTTTCATAATCGAGAGAATCTCTCTAAAAATCACTCGAAATTAAAATCGTTTTTTCGTATGATAACAAGATTCTCGTATCTCAATTATTAATATTTCGAATGATTATTTCGAAACATCTCTCGATTATAAAAATGTCTCGATTACTAATATTATCATTGATAAGAATAATCAACTAATATTACTTATGTTGACAATGCATTTTAAGTTTCTAATAAAATTTATTAAATATCCTCTAAATTAATAATAATAATAGTAAACTAATAAAATAACTTTAAAACAGCTCGTAATAATAAATACATAAATAATTAATATTTTATAAACAAAACTAGATAAAATGTAAAAATGAACAAAAAAATTTAAAACAAATTTAAATTACTATTTAAAATTATAATTAAATCTAAATTTTTTGGTGATAGCCGATTTCTACGATCATTGGTGATCAGTCCTGTTTTTGAAAACACCCGTTCAGACGGAACAGATGTTGCTGGAATACACAAATACTTCAGCTACATATTATACAAATCTGGAAATTTGTTTTTATACTGTTTCCAAAATTCCAATGGATTTTTTTTTACGGTCTAAAAGTGTCATTTCTAGATTTTGACGTATAATCAAATTAGAAGTTACACTTGGACTCAATGTAGTTTTGACTTGAGCAACTTTATTATCAAAATTCTCCCATAGTGATTCAGTTGTATTATTAGTACTATTTAACGTAAGTGTTGTGGTAGATTCAGTATTAATTTCGTTTTCCATTTCAGTATTTGTGCTAATCATCATTGTTAATTTTTCGCTTACCCATTTTTGCGCATTACTAGCATTTTCAAGTAAACCAAACGCAGTTTTTTTAAATCGTGGATCTAAGAAAGTTGCTTTTGCAAAAATTTTATTTTTTTCTAAAATGCCCTATTGTCTACTGACTATATCCATCAACATATTTCTAAATACATCCCCAATATCAGTTACTATTTTCAAGTCTCTTAAAATATGTTGAAGACCTCTAATAAGTGGTATAACGACACTTAATGTTGGGTACTTTTCATTTGATAATTCCGCTGTCATTATTTGAAATGGCTTTAAAATATGAGTACAATCTAATATTATCTCCCACTTGGACGCATTTAAATAATTTGGAGCTCGAGGTAGAGTTTACATAGTAGCAGATAAAGGAGCTTTAATGTTTACAAATCTTTCCATCATTATAAAACTAGAATTTCACCTTGTAGCCACATCTTGTTTAACTTTTAATAGAGGTAAGTTCATTTGCAATTGAAAATCTTTGAGTTTTTCAGTGGCATTGCTGCTGTGCTTGAAGTGCCCTACTATCGTCCTACATTTTTTTAAAATTTGATTTATATCAGAATTTCCATTTATTGCCTCAATTATACTTAAGTTTAGTGTGTGTGCCACACATGGGTGATGGTGTTTAAGAAGGTGTTCGTTTATTGCATTTTTAATATTTGACCCATTGTCTGATACCACAGTTATTATTTTATTTGCTATATTCCATTCATTAAAAATATTTATAAGTGTAACGGCTATATTTTGACCAGTGTGTCTGTCAAAAACGTCTTTAGTTGCAATTAGGTACTGGTGAATATAATTGGTCATCAAAAATAAAATGGCATGTCACTGTTATATTTGATTTATTGGAATCAGATGTCCACATATCTGTCGTTATTGATAAATCATTTACATTTTGAAGAATAGATTTTATTTTAAGGAGTATAACATTATATTCTTGTGGTAATAATTTCGAAGTTAATACTTTTCTACTAGGAATCGAATAAAATGGTTTCCAATTTTTTGCTATACTCAATAAATTCAACGTTTTCTACTGACGAGAGTGATTGATAATTAGCGACAATCATTTTAATTAAAAATTTATTAATAGCCTTAATTTTAGAATCACTAAGTTCATTTACTTTTGTCGAACCAAAAAGTTTTAGTTGATGAGGTCGTTTTGGTGGTGGCTCAGAAAATTGTGACGAAATTAAATGTTCAGATGATAAATTAGAAGAAATTTCTGAAGTTGAGGGATTAAATGTATTTTCGGTAGTCTGTATTAATTGGTTATATGGATCATTTTCATTATGAGTGATCCGATTAAGTTTAGTTGGGTGTATTCGTTTTAAATGTTCTATTATAAATTTAAAAAGATACAAAAATTGTGAAATTAGTATTTATTATAGCTTAATATTATAAAATACATATAATAAATAATAGTCTTATTTTCAAGAAAACACACGGAACGTGGAAAGGCATTTCTATAAAATATGTGAAATGCAGTTATTTAAAATTTAAATTAATAAACTAAGCTGTTTCAAATAATTCCAAAGAGAAATGGTAAACAAATAGATAATTCCGTGTACCTAATTTAAAAGTTCTCGAAACCCTTATTAAAAAATTATAATTTTTAAGTACTTACCTTTTAAGTTTGTCGTGTTTCCGGAATATTTATTATCCTTTTTACATATTTAACACTTAACAGTTCTATTATTAGTATGTTTTTCAAAATGATTCCATACAACGGAACGTTGTTTACAGCTCGGTCTCATATTTAAATAAATTAAGAAAATACTTCTGAAATTTAATACTTTTGAAATTATCGAAAAATAACAAAATATATGATTGTCAACTGTTAACTGTTAACTGCTAAAATGCTGTTTATGGTTTTGGCTTGCAAGATTGTTAAACAATTATATTTGGAAAAATCTAATCAAAAATCGTCAACATGTCCCTTCTAATAATAAATAGTAAAATGGTGATTTGTGGTAGCAGAATTTATTTACAACGCGCCTATGAATAAAAGTACTTTTGATAAAAATAATAAACGTGTATATTGTTTCATTTATAAACATACATTGCATTGTCACATGTCTGTATTTATTTATACAACCAAGTTAGAATGTAGAAATGACTAAAAACAAAACTATCACAAATTAAAAAATAAAAACATCAGATAAGGTAGTGATAGCCGGCTTGACCATCATAGTTAAAATTTTAAAATTTCACATTTTACACCTTATTGATCTTTTATAAGTTCACAACCAGCGAGAGAATCAAAACTCAGTAGTTTAGCCTGTTCAGGACTAAAGTAGATAGGTATTAACTGATAAATACATATAATCATAAATATGTACTACATTGAAAATTGTAATGTCATATGTGAACCATTTTTCAGATTTAAAATGTACTAAATCAATTACCAGATAATAATTCAAAACATTTCAAAATTCGATAACTGAACTCATAAGTTATGAGTAAAGTAATCGAATGATTTCATTAATTGAAATATTAGTAATCGAAACATTTTTATAATCGCGAGATGTATCGAAATAATCATTTGAAATGTTCAATTGAAATATTAATAATCGAGATAAACGTTCTGAGAAATTTTTGTTGTTTTGTGGTTGAGTAATTCAAAAATTATAGCTATAAATTTATGTCAAACCATAAAATATAAATAACTAATAATAACCATATACCTATCAATATTTGTCTTACGACCAGTCCCACGAGTATTATAGTACGAGTCGAAAATACAGACTCAAAATCAACAACTAGTATTTACTTATTCGATTATGAAGATTAAAAATAGTATTCCTCCCTCCCTCCTTCGTTCCATGAAAATCATATGAAACGTTTTTTCATTCGATATACATTTCAAGTTCAAGTATTGATTATTTTTAAAATAAACGAGATATCACTCAAAATAATCTCTCGAGTTTATAATCGAATTATTATTTTCATAATCGAGATATCTCTATTATATATCTCAATTACACCCATCACTAGTTATACGTTGGATAAGAGATCGACGGCCGGGTAAGCAGGTGTTGGCGCGTCGTCAGTTACGGTACAGGAGCGTATTTAGACTTACTTCTAGGGGGGGGAGGGACTCACAT